ACTGCAGTACCTAAACTATCAAGTTAGTTTTAATCCTTTCTGTTAACCAGCTGTTAATTGGCATATAAAAGGATATAAATGCCCTTTGTCTGTCATCTAATTTTCTTTATCAATGACACCCACATAAACCTCACCGACCATTCAATGTAGTTCTATTCGTTGGGGCACTCAGCAATCGTTGTGACGATTACTTTCTGCTCTTGTTTTCAATCATCGTGATCAATGTGAAAATTTATTTGGCCAAAAATCCCTGAGTTCTATGACTGCTCAGATGAATTTAGACCACAACATGATACTCTACACTACTCTACCACTGACCGTGACTGTAAAAGAACATTACGATGGGGATAGAGCTATGAAGGTTATTCTGCATTTATGATAAAACCAAATGTCTAATGTTTGATAGATGTTGTTTAGTGAAATGAATATGAACCCACTTAAGTCTGGGATTCAAACTTGTTAAATAGAATAAAAGCACCAAATGGGTCTTACATGAATTTGGAGGTTATTCTTACATGAATTTGGCGAAGAACCAACTCGTAACAGTGTTTTTTTTTATTGTTTTCCCATATATAAAACCAAACAATAGAAGTATAAATTTTTACACTTTTCTATTTCATCTTTTCCCATCCCACCCAAATCTTCCCACAAATCAAACAGAGCCTAAATAAATCCCCACAAATCGAATATGTCTTCATCTTGATACCAGGAAATTACTGCAAATAGTGCATTGTAAATCTGATAATCTTTCCTTCCATCCTTTCTCTCTCGTACCAATAGTTTTCTCCTAGAACTTCCAACTTCCAACTTCTAACCGAGTCAACCGCCTGCATTTGTAGCTCAGTGGAGCCATGCAATTGCCTAGACCAATTATTTCTCAAATCCACTTTTGGAACAATGTCTATTATGATTCATAAGGTAAAAGACAATAAACATTTTATTGAAGGGTAGATTTGATATTTTCAAAAGTTTCAAATTACACATGTTAACATGTGATATAGAGAATTGACATATTATTAACAGCAGGAACCAATTTGACAATTTTTGAAAGTTTAGATACTATAGTTACATGTTTTGAAGTTCTGATACTAACTTGAAATTACCCCAAAATTTAGGGTATTAATCTAGAATTTTCCCTAAATTTTAAGAAACTTGAATCAGTGACTTTTTAACAAATATACAACATTCAATTCAACTTTGTAGTTTGTACTAAAAGATCTAATATAAATATTTTAGGCTCAATTTGGAATAGACCTATTCATGGGTTGGGTAGTCCGAGGGTCTGGCCAGCTTAGACAAGGTCTTAGGCCCGTGGGCTCGGGCTCGGGGCTAAAATATCAGGCCCGACTTTTTTTCGGGCTGGGCTCGAGCTTTCTAAAAAATGCTCGGCCTGAGTCCGAGCCCGACTTGATAATGTATTATATTAATAAAAATATATTTTATATAATAAAAAATCATATATATAATATATTTTTCTTCTCTTTTTTCAAGTAATAATGAGACTCTGCATTATTTTTTTAGGTTTTGAGGTCTTTTAGTATAAATAAAATAACTTTTAATTGAATTAAAAAGGAAATTTTTTTTTCCAATTTCTAGTCGGGCTTGAGCTCGGGCCCAGGCTTTGGGTTTTATAGTTGGGCTGGGCTTGGGCTCAATTCCTAGGCCCAGTGGTCGGGCTGAGCTCGGTTTCTGGCCTGAACATTTTCTGTTAATGTAAAGGCAAAGCCCAACCCAACCCGGCTCGTGAACAAGTTTAGTCTAGGAGTACAAATGCAAATATGTAGAGCAATGTTTTCGAACTGTCATTAACTCGGACGGTCGGACCGTTCGGACCGGAAACCGTTCAGGTGACCGGTTCTGTTTTACTCCAAACCCGGTCTTTGATAAAAAACCGTTGAATTAGTCAACGAATTGTTGACCTTGACGGTTTGACCGTTAAACTGTTTGACCCGTAGAATGGCTTGCGGTTTATTAAGTAAGAGCAAGAATGAAAAGAGAAGATCTCTCAGATCTCATATCTGAGATCTATTGGAGAGAGAGAGAGAGAGATTTGAGACTGAGAGAAATCTCATATCTATTTTCACCGCCGCTGCTATAGTTCTCTATCGTCGTCATCGTTGCCTCTGCACCCTTCAAGTGACCTCCTCCTCCTCCTCCTCCTCTTCCTTCTTCTTCTTCTTCTTCTTCTTCTTCTTCTTCTTCTTCTCTCTCTCTCTATCTCTATCTCTCTATTCTCTCTCCTAAACTTCTCACATCTCTCATTCTCAAATAGTCAAACCCTTTTTCTCTTTTATTTATATGCATCTTACACTAATATTCCAATCTAATGGGTAAGATGACATATCAACAGTTACAATATTTAAACCGTTCGAACCGTTTAACCCGGACGGTCGAACCGTTGACCCGAAAACCGGTGTCCAGAACGATTCCATTTCCAAGTCAGTTTTTAAAACCTTGATGTAGAATGCAAAACCTTATTTTTTGTATGTATCTGCACTGTACATATTTGCATTTGTACTCCTTCCAAACTAAACCTTCAAGTACAAACAACGTATGAATCATCAGATGAGAGACAGGGATAAACTAATTGAATTCAACTATTTTGCCTACTTCAACTAGAAAATAAATAATATTAACTACTCAACTAATTTGCCTGACAACCCAATTAATCAAGTTCTCATCAAATCTTCTTCTTTGACTTGCAATTATTAATAGATCTACCTTTAACTACCAATAGGATTAAACACTGTGAATGAAGAAGGCCCAAGAGATCATTTCATCCCAATATGTATTCTTTAATGAGTATTATTATTGCACAGACACTTACTTTCAATATTGAACAGGAAACTCTGTGGTCTCTTCCTTCCTCACCCTGTTAGCTGTTTGGTAAGTTATTTATCCATCTTCTTTTATTTTCCAAATAAATAAAATAATGATTATTTTAGTTATAAAAAATCATTATTAGCATAGATAATTTTGTCTTATGCAATTGTTGGCAACTTTCCCCTTGAGATGGAAAAATTATTTATCCACCTAAGAGATAAGTATCATTTACTCAGTAAGTAATATCTAAGGAAAATAAATTTTCTATAAATCCTACATAAATATGAAAAAAGAATATACATATCTTGATCAATGAAAAACAAAACCGCATGACCAGCTTTGCCCCTCTCAAAATAAAAAAAAACGAACATACCCCAAGTTTCACCCATCTCCCTGTCGTTCTAGAGCCTAGAAGCAGCTTCAGGTTTCAAACTTGCCCATTCACGATTCCACGGGTCTCTCCGTTCCTGAGTTGTATTTGCCTGCTTCCTTTCGGTATACTGATATCTATATTCTTATCTGCTTAGCCTCTAAGAAATGCGTGTAGGTGTAGCCGTGTAGGGACGCTTTTGGATATCAGTAGGATGAAGGATTACACTCAAGAATTGAATGCACATCCAGAGAACTTAGCGAAGCTTAAGGGGTATAATTAGGGCTGCAACTTGGGCCGGGTTGGCCCGAACCCAACCCGAAAAAGTCGGGTTGGGTTGGACCGGGTTGATGATTGGGTTAGGGTTAGGATTGACCCTCGGGCAACCCAACCCAACCCAAACCTGACCCCCTATAGTATTAGACTACTAGTCTATTAGTCTACAACTCTATTATATATATATATATATATATATATATATACACTGATTTGTTTAGATGCATGATAGTTATATAGCCCCCCTACATATTATCATGCCTTTCTTTAGTTTAAGTTATTCACAGGTACTTGACTATTTGTCTTTTCCTTTTGTCTTGTAATTTTTATGTGTGACCTATCAAATAGATTCAAATTATTTGTTTGATCCTATGAATTGTTATTAGTGATTTTATTTCCATAATTTTATGTTTCATTATTGTTGATTTCATGAATTTATATTTTTGAGAAAAAATCTATCATAAGTCATAATTCATGATAAATAAATACTTATTTTTCTACTAGATTTTAAGGGATGGGAAGGTTGGGTTGGGCCCAACACAAGCCCAACCCAACCCGAAGTTGACATCGGGTTGGGTTAGAGTTGAAGGAATTAGTTAGGGTTAAGGTTAGGGTTGAGTAGGTCGGATTAGATTAGGGTTAGGATTGGGGGTTTAAAACATAGGATTGAGCTAGGATTGACCTCAACCCAACCTAACCCGGCCCGACTTACAGCCCTAGGTATAAGTATCATTCGCTAAAGAAGAGAAGTACCTCATATGTGATATGTCTCAAGTTATCCACAAGATAAATTGAGCTACATTGGGGTTCTATTCTTTTCCAAGCCCAGGGTTGGTTGCAAAGGACCTAGCAGGCTTGAGGCCTTCTATCTAAGCAGATGAGTCCAAGCTGGACAGACCTACCATGGACCTTAGGTCTGGCGGAGGTCCAATCGACCATTAAAATACTTTGAAACATTATACCGAGATGCTTGATAGTTGATATACCCTTCCACCGTATCATGCGCTTGTAAAATATACTTTGAAACGCATAAAATTATGACACATATATAAATAATTAAATACATCAAAATTTACATAAAATAAAATTTTAAGGTTTTTTTAAATTTATGTTAAAATTTTCATTTTTATTTTAAAATTTTTAAAAAACATGACTTAATTCGAACTGCAGCCTAACTTAAGACTCGGCCCATGGACTAGCTCAACCCATGGCACGGCATAAGCCCACATGGATTTGGGCCATAGGCCATACCAGACTGACTCCCAAAATATCTCAAGGGAAAGAAACACTGTGCCGGCCCAAAGTGTGCAACCCGGCTTGGATAGGCTAATCAAATAAACCCAACTCATCTGTAATGAGAAAAGAGACCGTACTCTTTTATAATGAGAAAAGAGAAGGGTGGACTAAACATAAATAGGGAAGTATTATACATTTATACTCTTTTATAATGAGAAAAGAGACCGTACTCAGCCAACCCCTCCCAAGACCCCCAGAGAGCTGGGACAAACATTAGATGATGAGCTTTTTATAATGGGAAAAGAGTGATTATATTCATAGTCTCAATAAAGAAATCTCGTATTTTGTTTTCAATTTGGCCAAGTCGGCACCTTTGAATGACAACTACACAGCTTAAAAAAATAAAATTACTTGTAAGCTAAAACTAGGAAATGCGGTAAAGAATTTAGGAGCCTCAGCTCTTACATATAACTATATAAGCTGCTTTCCAGAAGCCAAGTAACTTTATGCCAACTGGAAATAGCACTAAGATTGAACCAATTTATCAGATTCATTTCATCAAATCAAACACAGTAGAGCCGAACCTCTTCCATGTTAGTCCCCAACAAATCATCACCATTGATGTGCAACAAGAATTTTGTCGTAAACTATCAATAATAGACTGTGGATGAACAAGTTTGAGAGCATCTTGGTATGTTTCCATTGAAGAGCTATTCCATTGCCTTGACATCTACTCAAGACTCGGCATGAAATTTTGTACCCTCTTCCTTCCACCCTTTTTGTCTTGCTCTAAGCTCCCACATTGTAGTCATTTTTTTCTGCGCTGCTAATGCTGCTTCAGCCTTTTCCCTTGCCTCTTCACAGGTTTCCATCCCTGAGTTGCACTTATCTGCCTCCTTTTGATACTGAGATGCTATCTTCTTAGCCTCAAGCAATGCCATGTCTGCACGCCGTTGGTTTTCCAAAGCTTCAGCTTCCCGCAGCTTCAATTCCTCTGACAATAGCTCAGCAAAGTTCTTCTCCATGTCTTCACTGACCTCTGGATCATGCTTTGCACAATCTGTGTACAAGTTAATCAATAGAATGATGAACAATGGCTACAGTTTAGTTGACTGCACATCCAAAGAATTTACAAAACCAATATGTCTATGGTTATATTATCATTCAGATGACAGGCAAACACGGCCGCTTGGTGAAATTTCTACTAACAGTATAATTCCTTGTAATGAGAAGTTGGTTCTCCAAGCTTGTAATCGCTGTAACTCTGTAGGAAATAAGTTTCCCATATATGACAGCTAGCCATCTATCAACAAAGAAAATACTGTCATGGAGATAAATTGTGTGGTTTTTTGTAAGGGAAAAGATGGATGATGAAGCATGTGAAAATTTCTTTAGGTTTAGGCAAAGTGATTTTGCAACAAGGGGAGAGGATGCTTAAGGATCCATGAGAAGCAGAGGAATGGGTAGATGACACATCTAGACATGCCATTGCTTGGGAAGTAGAGTCGCTCTTTAAGTTGAGGAGAGAAGTTGTTAAGGGAGGAGTAGATGCACATCTTCAAGCATAAGAGTAAGAGAACACAGAAGCAACCATTCAGATGCTTGAAGTTGAGTTGATTGAAGGCCTCAGAACTAATTGTGGTCTGGTCGGTTTGCTTCAGGCATGGGTGGCTCCTTCAAGAACATAGACATACTAGAGGTTTTCTCACATTCGATTGGTACTGGAAATTCAATCAATGCTGAGATCTTGGCTTTGCTTCAAGGCTTGAGACTGGAAAGATAACTAGAACACAGAAATATGATTGTCGAAGGTGATTCAGAGTCAGTCATTTACTGGATGATGGATGGAAGTGCAGGCCCCTGGCAATTGAGACACCTAAACATAAAATCTGTATCTCTAGCCAATTCCATTTGAGAAGCTTTTTCCTGGGTTATGTGATCTGCTAACTCTTTAGCAGGCTCACTAGCTGGAAGGAGTATTATAAATTGTTCTAATCTTTTTGTTTTTCTTCTTTTTCTTTTTGGATAAGCAACAATAACCTAAGATGTACTTAATAACATGAAATTCTCCTAATTAAAAAAGCAAATGTATAGAGCTTTGTTTTACTAATCATATTTGTGGCCAAAATGCATATATAATTATGGAAATTCAGAATTAAATATATAATATGAAAGAATAAAAACTAATGAAAAAAAACCACCAATATGTCTAATATTACTTGCATTTGCAGTTATACAAACAGCTAACCTGGTTAACTAATAAAAGTAAACATTGTTTCCTATATCACATTAATCCATTTTACCTCCTTTGGGCCTAGTTTTTAGAAGGAACACAAACCTGTAAATGAGGAGTTGCTCAATCCTGCAGAAAGCACATGAAAAAAACAAAAAACAAAATAAGAACATTTTGGCAAAGTAAAAAAAAAATATAAGGCATAAAAAGGATAAAAAAAAGAAATACATATTCAGACATGCATTTGGGTTTGGCATAAGTATAAGAGCATAAATCAATAATGGTTATTTATCATCATCTAAATCTTGTCCCATCTATATAGGGTAGGCTACATGAATCTTAATTTGCCATTCTGTAACAGTTCGGTCAATATGTTACTTATCAAAAGAAAGTGTAAAGGGAAGCACCCCAGGCTCTGCATCAATCTCTATAAGGCCCACCAAACATATGACAAAAATATAATCTACGTACTGATCAAAAAAGAAAAAAAAATACATAGTTTCAAAACATGTTGTCCATGTTTGGAACTATTAGTCCCCAGACATGTCACAATGGATGTCATTCATTCATGGTATCAGTTTATTTGGTTTGAATGGTTGCTGAAAATTCAGCAAGCAACTTTTTCTAGCATAATCCAACTATATGGAATACATGCACGATTCTATATCATCACCATCATCATCCAAGCCTTATCCCAAGTCCCAACTATATGGTGTGGGCTACATGTATGGTTCTAAATAGATGACTTAAATAAATTAGGTGACTATTGGGCCACCTCAACCCTACTGGCCAAACACAAGCTCAAAAACTCAGCCCCTGAATTGGATTTGAGATGGTAAAATCTGATATGTACAAGGACAGATTATGCACACATCTGAAAAATTACAAAGAACAACAATATTTTTTTTGATAAATAACAAATACTTTTATTAAGAGATATTAATATAGAAAAATACAAAGGGAGGGGTAAAAACACTTAACCCTCCCAAGAAAACATTTCAGATTACTATGTTGCCCAGAACAAATTTTCTCTTCCCACCCCTTATTTAGCCAATGAGTCTGCCAAGGAATTGGCACACCTCTTAGTCCACTGAAATTTGACTTCCATATTTTCTGTGAGATATCTAATTTTCTTCTTTTCATTCAGAAACTTCTACAAACTCGAATCATCTTTCATTAACCATTTGATAGTCAAATTAGAATCACTTTCCACTATCAGGTTTCTGATATTTAATTCTCGAGCTCTTTTTAACCCTTCCATAACAGACAATATTTCAGCTCTAAGAGAGTCCCCCGAGCCAATAGGACCCGAATACAATGCGATAATTCGACCTTCATCATCCCTGAAAGCTCCCCCTATACCCCACAGACCTGGATTTCCTTTGCTACTTCCATCAAAGTTTAATGTAGTGAACCCTGAAGCTGGTGGGGACCAAACTGGGTGAATTACATTCTTCCTTGGAACTGACCAATCCACTTCTTTCCACTTCCTGATGATATCTCCTTCTGAATAGTTTTCAAAAATGTTCAAAGTCTTAGCCCACTGAATCACCCTTATGGAAATTAATTCAGTAATTACACCTTTATTTCTTTTTTTCCCAAGAAAGGTCCGTTGGTTCCTTTCCTCCCAAACTGTCCAACATACGGCTGCTCTTACACATCCCCATAGAATTTTCCCTCTCTTCTACAAAGAACAACAATATTGGTTTAATGGCATGAGTATTGGTCCAAATCTGAATAGCAATGATGTCTGATCAATCGTTTTATCCTCCCTAGACAATGCAGTTGCTAGTTGGTGCACAACCACAAAAGTAAACATGTTATCAATTGAAAATATTGATGCTACCTCATATACTAGTCCATGTAAGCTTAAATATCCACACTAAAAGAAATGATATAGAACATCTACTATATATTTTTCATTTTACAAACATAAAATAGAAGGCTGGATGAGCTGAGAAAAGGAGTGACAGTCATTATTGTTCAAAGGTAGAGTGCAATCTGGAGCATCAGATAAGATCACCTGTTTATCAAAACTCCATACCATGGTTCAAAGTATTGGCATGATGGATATGCAATCCAGAATTTTCAACCTACAAAACTCCTTTTTTATTTAATTTTTTCAGTTTGATGAGTTTACAAATAAATATATTAAGATGGACGTTAATGTTTGAACCTATTAAAAGGTCTGAAATCTTAATATTTAGCATTGCAACCCGAAAAAGCAATACATATTGTACAATATGGTACAATATGAATTGATACTTAGAACCTTGTTGATTCTCTTAGGGCCGAGGTCATGGCGGAACTGGAAGGGGTTAAGAAGGCAAAGGAGATGAACATTCAGAAGCTAATTATAGAAGGAGACTTGAAATTGGTGATAGGATGGCTGCAAGAGGAGAATAGTAACCTCTGGAAACTTGCTAATGAAAAAAGAGCTTTTGAATGGGTAACTCAGGGAATAGAGATTCAGCTTCATTGGGTGAAGAGAACTGCTAATTCCTTTGCAGATACTCTGGCCAAACAAGGAGTGGGAAGGGAACAATTGTTCTGGGCAGTGTTGTAATTGTTTTTTCTGTCTCTTGGGGAGGGTTAAGAGATTTTCTCTCTTCCCTTTGCTTCCTTTGTAAACTCTTGTTTTTTCTTTTAATAAAAAGGTTCTGTTATTGAACCAAAAAAAAACTTAGAACATTGATCTCTAGCATTAGAACAATGACTGAAAGAAGACATAACAAAGATCCCCCCACCCCCAGAAAAAAAAAAAAAAAAAAATTGTTGCTTTATTTTACGGGTAGGGATCTGCTACAAACAAAACACTCCCACCACTGTCCTAGCAAACCATTGCAGCTGTACATTGGGAACATCTCCCCATGAATGATAGGGAGATGTTCCCAATGTGCAGCTTCAGTGGCCGGCTGGGAATGTTGGGAGCGTCTGGTTAGTAGCAGATCTGAACTCTTATTTTATGCCTAGCTTCTATCATGACACACTTGCCCAATCATGACACACTTGCCCAACCATGTGCTCAAATGATCATAGCAATTATCATGCATATGACAGAACAAACACATATTTCATATGTAATATTATTTTAATTAGTCAGAGATAAATGGAAACAAATTAACCTTTAAAATAACTTTGTCATTCACAAGGTCAACTAGGCTAACTAGCCACTAGTTGATGCTTAGTCCTCCAAGGTGACCACACCATGAGTATCAAACTACAAGTTCATGACGCAGTCAGCAAGGCCCTTAACTGACTAGTTGGTCAACTAGTTATTAGTCGATGCTTTGATAACACTGATGAAGACCTACAAATTGGAATCCCTTACCTCTCATTTTAGCTTTCTTCTAACCCAGGTGATATTGTTATCCAAGTCTAACCCAATATGGATACAATTTGACATTGTTAAATTAGACTTTTATAAATATCATTATTAAAAACAAACAAAAGAAGACCTGAAGACTGTATATTATTAATAAAATAAAGTAGAACTTTTATTTATAAAAAAAAAGTAAAGTAGAAATATTATTAAAAATACAATACTTGCATGGGGCTTGAACCAACAAGCCTTCACTGGAAAAATAAATCAATACTTAAACCAACTTCTCTAAGAAATATGTTAGCTTAACATAATATGTATATATGCACTTATATGGTAGTAATATCTGATAGAATCTTGAATGCATCACATTGGGATGGATCCACATTGAAGACAATAAAAAAGCTCTGATATTCGGGATCTATATCAGGCTTATCTCAATGGGTTTTCATATGCTAACTTGGGAGCCAATGCCAAATAGCTATTCCTCCCCTCACACACCCTAGATGAAAAAAATTGAATTATATCTTCTGAAATGTTTGATGTTAAAGCCCTTGAAATCCTCCAAAATTGAAGGGGCTGATCTTTTTTTTTCAAACATAAGAGCATTACATTCTTCCCATTCACTCCCGTCAGTGGGAAAAAGGTAGAAAATCCCATAATATGTGCCCCCACATACTAGAAACCCTGCACCAGCCAAGAAGAATGCAGCAATTATGCTTTAAAAGTGGTAAACAATCAGGCGGGTTTTCATCAAAATTCACGAGGGGTTTTGGTTGGTCAAATAATCTCTGGTATCATGACTTTCTGGCATCATAGATGATAAGTATCATCAAGTATTCCTGTATTGATTTCCCTGCAGATGTTGCCTTCCAATTACTTCTTAAAGTATTTCAACTATTAATTGGCTTTATTTATCACCTTTCCACTTTGTTCCCATGAAATTGTAACAGGGAGAAGCACTTTCTTCAGGAAAGAAAGTGAAAGTATCATTTATCATTAAGATCAGTTAATAGATGTATTTTATACTCGTGAGAAAGGGAGGAAAAATCTCTATGTGCTTTCTATACTTTTGACCTTTCAGTAATCGTAATCAATACTTTACTATCTCAAAAGAAAAAACAATGGAAAAGAAAAGAAAGGAAAAATGTCTAAATGCTTCCAATTACCAAGTTCTAAGTTCTTCAGTATCCCCAGTTTTGATTGTTACAGTGTCTCAGGCTATTAACTTGGATCAACCATTACATTTGTCTCAATAACATAGAACAAATATAGTACATAGTTAGAAAACAACATCCAGAGTCATAAATCTTTCAAACAGGCACGCGGGGGAAACTCATAAGGAAAAAACCACTTATATAAGAAGCACACCGTCTGCGAGAGTAGCTTAGGTCTACATATTTCATAAACAATCTAGGAAATTAAAGTGACTATCAAGACAAATTGGAAACTAGATGCCACCCTTTGGTTAAGACTCTGAAATATAGTGGTGAGGCTTCCCTTATAGGAATTAAAATTTAGTGTCTCCAAATCAAGATTTATTCACACCAAAAAGATTCAGTATGAGACTGGGACACACAAGCATATGGTCAATTTAGAATAGAATTGAAGCAATTTAGTAGAGGATCTAAACAAATTTGAAGATTAAACAAATAAGAATACTTATAACAGATCTCGTGGGTGGCTACGTTACCTTCGGGCAAGGAGAGAAGGGACTGAGAAGCGCAATCGCAATCGCAAGGAGGGCAAGAAACGGAAGAAGAAGAAGAAGAAGAGGTGTGGCTAACAGCGGCCAAGCCTTCGGTGAAGTGCCAATACAGTGGCGGACCTACAATGTATCCGGCCAAGCACATAGCCATTACAGTCAAACCCGCCTTAAACACACCGGGGCTACACAGGCGCTGCTGATTCACAGCCATCTCTCTCTCTATCTCTCTCTCCTATGGAAAGTGAAGAGGATCTTGACTAGAAAAATCTCTTTCAATAAGAACACACTCCGCACCACCGATCTACGAACTCAAGAAATAAACCACCGACGGCATCGGCACAGAAGCTCTTCCGCGCTTTTTTGTCTTTTTTAACGCCATTCGACGACTTCACTGCCGTAACTCTGTGGGCCTCTATGGCCCTCTGCCCTCTCTCTCTCTGTAACTCTGTCGAGGAGTGAGTCAGAGTGAAGACCCCCGACGCGCTTGATTGGGTACGTCTGTTTCTAGAGTTAAGGCACCATGGAATTCCGTTGCTTTCCGGACTCCGGAGTGTCTTATCGATGGATGTAAGTGGGACACTTGGCCCCACCAACCAACGGGATCAACCTTAGATTAGGTTCACGAGGAATTTGAATCTACACGAGCACGATTAGAGGCCATGATCCGATTAAAAGAGAAAGGGACCCACAGAATAAAGATGCAATACATACAACTATTACGGGGTGCAATAGTAGCAATGGCAGTGAGGTGGAAACGCGTACCGACAGCGACAATGTGCGTTTTGTCTGGAATGCTAAGCCGACGTTTAAGTAATAAACTCATTCGCCTCACATGCATCTCATACGGTCGATCTGGAATATCATGTGAGATGAACATTGCTTATGAGGTGTTTGAGATCGACGATGATTACTCTCACGAGATTTTTCATGAATCACTTATCTTTTTTATAGAAATCAGAGAAATTGTTTGTTTGGTACCGTTATCGCCATGTCAGCCGATTCCTATGATGAGATTTCTCATAAATCACTAATTTTTCAGAAATCACAGAAATCGTTTGTTTAGTAGTACCATTATTGCCAATAATGAATTTGGTGAGATCGGCTTCCCTCATGGCAAATCCGTACTCACACTGTTTCAATAGCCTTTTGCAATCTAACATATCTCTCCCTCAAATAAAGTACGTAAGTTCCTTTTGGACTCGGATTCTCCTACCCACAAGAATTCTGCTCATGCCTATTCACATTATACTATTCCCGATCAATTGGGAACATCTTTCCTTGCATGATACTATGCAGAGGATGAGATGTTCTTCATGTGTGACTGCGATAAACGTGGATAGGGTTCTCGTGAACAGAAGATTTGGACTCCTCCATTTGTTTATAATATAAATGCTGAATCGAGGTGTTTATATATTGCAATTTGTATTTGCCCTGTCTGAATATTCTCAATACAAGGCACTAAAAGTTGCTTGAATGGACTTTGCCATTACCAAAACCAAACTCGAATTTGGTTGGTAGTGATCTTTTTATGGGAACTATCTTCTCTATCCATGTCAATGCTATATCATCCCAAAAAAAATCAGAGTTGTCTATGAGTTTGTTCGATTTCATCTTTTCAACTCAATTTTAATCAGTGTTTTTAACCTATCATTGAAAAAGCTGGCTGAACCGTTCAAACCGTCACCTTGCCAAGATTCCATGTTTAGTACAATCAAGATTCGTTGGACGGTAAAAAAACATTGACTTGGTCAAGAACTGTTCGACCCAATCAGTTCAACCATTGACCCATTCGACCTAGCCGATTCAACCATTAACCCGTTCGACCCGATCACCAGGTCGCAGGTTGCACCTTCAATGTATACAAACTTTTGAAGGCCATAACTTTGCGCTTTGATGTCTACTTGGGGTGATTTTTTTTTTTATTTTGGCTAACTTTTGAGATCTATGCGTCCCAAGAGGTCGTAGGCACCTTGCCCCACTGTCTGAATCGTTCAATCTGGCCTATCGAACCAATTACTCACAACTCAGAGACAAAAACAGTTCAACCTCCGGGTAAGTTTTTAAAACATTATTTTAATAATTGATTTTTGACTGATTTTTTGATTTCTCATAAATCAACTAACGAAACAACAAAATAATGAGTGATTTTTGAACACCTCTTTTGGAAGTAGTTGTGTGGCACGTGCATTGTACGTGCAAAAAGAGAGATAGAAGGGGTAGTTAAAATGATATACAAGGATAAGAGGGAATTGAATAAAGCTGGGGCAATGTTTCCAAAAATATCATCGACCTAAGTGATTGAACCATTCAACCCGGGAATTGATCACCTTTCTGGGTCCATTCGACAGCTAGTTTGTTATTTTGTAAAAAACCGTTGATTTATTGGTCAAGTGAACCAAGGGGAGCCAGGAAATTTTTATCAAGGAAGGAGAATAAACATGGATGGACTATTGGAGTGGGGGAAAAATATACATGGAGGAGGGCAATATAAGTAGGATTTCTTGGCTATAGAGGGGGCCATGCCTCACCTGAAACCCCCTTGGCTCCACCCCTAAAGTGAACTGTTAACCCTAATGGTCTAATCATCAAACAATTCAACCTAGACAATGGTTTGCAGGCTGATAATTATTTTTTTTATATTTTAAATATTTTATTATGTTTGTGGTGATGTCATGAGTCAACCCGTTTGAATTAGACGATTAAATTAATAACCTAGAACTTGGTAGGTTCTTTGACTCGTCAAAGTAGAGACCTGGGATCAAATCCCACTGCCACCAGGGAGGGGGATGGGCTACCCCCCATTGTGTAGCCCCATGAAGTAAGAACCTAGAGGCAAAAACAAATTCTGTTTTCAGGTCAATATTTAAAACATCCAAATTAGGTATTTGAAACTCTCCATCTCATGAAAAGATTTTTTTTTGTGGTATTTTAACCCCCCCCCCAAAAAAAAAAAAGTTATTGGTTGCAAGAATCGAATTTGCATCTATATTAGAGCGAACCAATTAGCATACCAACTAAGCCACCCCACTTGGCCATAGAAGAGTGGCAGGAATATGGGACAGTGCAAGTTATTATTTACTCAAATCAATATGGGGAATTGTATAAAGTAAATGGGTATCATAGGTATTATAAGATTATAATTATTATATGGTCATAGATGCATGACAAGAAAAATGGAGTTGGGATCTTCTGCCAACAAAACATGTTCCAACCCTCTACCAACTTGATCTAACACTGCACATCTCACTATAAGACTGAGACCCGCCATGTATGAGATGTGCAGTGTGGAATTATGTTGATAGACAGTTGGAACGTGTTTTGTTGCTAAGTGATCCAGATTCAGAAAAATAGGATAATGTAGGTCAATATTTAATAAAATCTATAAGAATAAGATGGGGAATTGTGCAAGTAAAAGGGATATCATAGGTTATAAAAGTTACCAAAGTTGGGCATGAAACTCTTTTTTTTTTTTATTTATCGCAACCAATCAGATGGTTATTTATCAAATGGTCAAATCTATAAGACCAAAAAGACAGTACCCGAGGATCTTTGACCAACCAAAGCACCCCAAGAATTTTGATGAATACCTTCTGATTGATCATCTCTTTTATGATAATAATTGATTGGCTGTAAAGTCTTTTCGGTATGGGTTCCACTATGATATGGAAAAGATATGATATCCCAAAAGCATCTGACCAATCAAGTGGAACCAAAAACGTGGTAGCCAATCAGGTGTTATTTATCAATACTTGGAACCATTTGCTACCCACTACATTCCAGCTCTGTAAGGTTGTGTGAATTTTCTTTTTACAAGAGGAACAGCTATTATTGCCATGAAAAATCATAAAAACTATCTGTTTGAGTATCCGACTTCAGATCCGTACAACTCGTAACAAGCAAATGGAAAGAGACTGCAAGGAAGAGCTGGTACTGACATTACAGACAGGAACTCCCCGATGAATGACAGAAATCAATAAAAACAATCTGTTTTGAGTATCTATCTTAAGATCCGTAGAACTTACAACCAGCATATACTGGATTACATGAGATGAGAGCATCAAACTTATGATTATGGCCCTTATGCCAATTTGAGGAAAAACATACAACAGATAAATTTATCTATATAAAGAGAGATAAATACCGGGTCTCTTCAGTGGTAATTCTTTGTCTGTATAGATAAAAGAATTCAGTTCTGTTAATGCAGTTGCAATTTGAAAATTGTTGATAACCTTGTCTAATTTCCTAGCATGTGCTCTAGTCCTCCCCCAGCTTGATACGCTGCTGCTCGGTTTCCTCCTGCTACATTATTAATCAGCTGTTGCAGCCACCTTTTAGTAGTTGGATCTTCCTATAAAACATACATAAATCAAAAGAAAGAAATGAAACATAAAAATAATAAGAATAGGCTTGGTATACTCATGCTTTTGGCTTTAGGGTGATGGCATTCCAGTCCAGAACAAAGCACTGGAATAGAAGCTAATGGTTTCTAAATTGCATACGTTAAAAAAAAAATTCTAGGTTCCTACTTCCTAGTAATAACTAGTATGTTGTGCAAGGCTAGAAATGTTTTATTCTATAAGTCTACTACTAAATTACATGAATAAAATCCTGCTAAATTTCTTACGAGGATGATCTTATCATAACCAGCAATGCAAATTTACAAAGAAGCGCATGGAGAAAAAGGCTCTGTCTAAGCAACACTTCTATGGATAACAGTAAGCAACAAGAAGCATATATATGACAATGATAAAAAGTATCTGTGTAAACATGGAACAATGCCGAGAATTCTAAGCAAGACAATAAACAGACAGTCATATATTTCTCTAGTAACACTTACACGAAGGCAACTACTGAATGTTGCATCTCTTAACATTTCAGGAAGGCAATTTCTTAATGCTTCACAAGCCCTGTATCATGAAAGTTAAAGCTTACATCCACATTGTTAGATGCTGCATATAAACGCAAATAAGGTATTAAAAGGAACAAAGGAAAAGAAGGAGAAAAAGGATAGCACCGATATAACTTGGGCAACAAATGACTCCACCAACAAACCTTGGATTATCGGACAATCTGAGGTAACAACGAATGATATGTTTTAGAAGCCGAGATGAGGGTTGCTCGGCAAGTGAATTAACCATGGTACCCAGCACACGACCTACTGCAAAAAAGCGCTCAGCTGTAGCACAAATGTAACGCAGCCCCACATCATCCAGTAGTATTTTTTGAACGATAAATGTAGCTACCTGTGTAAGCACATAAGTTAACAAAGGCATATGCCTATGTAGAAAGAATGTATATATCTAAACCACTCACTTTCCCATAGACATTGTAATATGAAACACTAGTAACTTAGTAAGTAATGGTAACGGGATAAACTAATATGAGCTTGTTTCCTCAAGCTCAATGATCAAATCCTCATCCCCCAGGCAGAGCTTTGTACACTTAGCTGCCCACAATGCAAAATATTTAAATAGAGGAACTAACTAATGTATTGATATAAGATGGAAATTACAGAGATTGGAAACAGTATTCCTGAAATGCAAAATGTCACCATGAACCACTGTGATGAGGGCGGATTTGGCCCTCTAATAACCTCATGACACATGGCATCCCGAAACAGCTGGACGACACCCAGATGCCACCTAAGCGATGATTTGGAGTCCCATATCGTAGTTCTATCGCTGACCTAGCGACCTCAACCACAACTTAGGTCGGCTTGCAGCACCTCGTCCAGGGACGACCTATAGCACCTCGTCACCAGCCGAAGTGATCTCGACGCAAGGCATGACCTCTCTCGAGGGCTTGCTGACTTAACTGAGGACCAGGCGGTGACCTGCGAGATGTGCTCACCGACAAATTCGGCATGCATACCTCGACACTCCTAGGTTTCTCTGAAGTTGGCCCGTGTACTAAATGTTCCGGAGGATGGTCAACTTGCATAGCGGTTACCTCCGAGGATTTCGGACCGGTAAGGCATGACCTCTCGGAAATCTCAGATGTGGTGCGTGAAGCCTATGCCAAACAATGCCTATATAAAGGCACCAACCCCAATGACACAGGGTACGCGCGATTATTTTCTCACTAGCTTACTAGCATACAAACTTTTAGCTCGCACAACCCAGTACTGACTTAAGCATCGGAGCGACCTTGCCGGGTTAGCCATCCCGGGTTCTCTAATCCTCTGTCTTGCAGCTTGGTCCAGCTCGCTACACGACTAAGGTCCAGGTCATCTTCCAGCTAGGAGCTTCCAGATCATGCATCATCAATTGGCGCCGTCTGTGGGAAACGCTACAAGAAGCTAAGTTCTCATCTTCTAGAAAGCTAAGATATCGCCTTTTAAAAATTTAAGTTTTCACTCTCTAATTTCCATTTTTTATGAACTAAAAAGCATTTTTGAGCAGCACCAACATCCAGAATGAATATCAATTACTAGGGAGCAAGAACATCTGTGATGAACCTTGAGAACTCCCCTGTGACAATTAGATAAATTCAGGTTGAACCCAACATTCCCAGTGCCCCAGATAAATATACCGCTACCGCATGTGAACGCCCCTCTCCCCGCGGTAGAGCTATCAACGGTTCCCGTCGGGATTGAAGCGTGGAAATTCTATGAGATGAAGCATGAATTTCCAGATTTGAGCATGGGAGAAGCCCGATGTAAATAGCAGCAAAACGACCTCAACTCATCCTCAATAGCAATCAGCTAGGACGAGGCCTCATCAGCTCCATTTTGCGAGGTCGCCTCTACAAGTCGAGCTCTTCGTTTCTCCCACAAGAGCCAGCGGCCAACGGATTGCATGGACGCCCTTGTAGGTCGAGCCTTCCAAGGCTCCCGTGCGAGCTGACGACCTAAAGTCAGTAGTGCTGCTCTCGTAGGTCGAGCTCCCAATGGCTTCTTGTAGGAGTGGATGACCGACATCACTACGAGGCTGATGCAGTGTAGCTGTGGCCTCGAACTGCCGGCTCATGCCAACAACTTTATGTATCAACAGCTATCACAAGGGGGGGTAGAACATGTACGTTGTGGTCTCGCAAGCACTCACCCAGGAAGATAATCCCATGGGATGACATAGAAGCAGCCATATGAGAAGTTACTACAGAATGACCACCCGCTTAGGTGGAGAGGTCAGGCCGCATGTCGGCTAAATAATATTATAGGGAGTGGACTATGAGTCGCTCCCAGAGCCCAAGGGCCACAGTGCCGAACAAATAGTGATCTCGGCGCTAAACATGAATAAGACCCAGTCGCCTCTTCGGCATGGGCAACTTAAGACCCAATCGTCTCTTCGGCATGGGCAACATAAGACCTAGTCGCCTCTTCGGCATGGGCGGAATAAAAAAGCAATTCACGTTCAGCCCCATCGGTGTGCAGACAGGTCGGGTACATACCGTTCCGCCTCAGCCTCATCGGTGTGAAGAAGAAGAAAGAGAAAAAGATGCGAAGGAAGGAAGACTAATTCAACACAAGAAAGAGAAACAAAGGAAAGACTAGACCATGACAGACGCAAACTTGGCCGATCTCTTCACAGTAGACCTCCACCTCGGTTTGAGGCTCCGCATCGAACTCGCTGGCTACTCTTTTGAGAACCAACTTGAGGGAGACTGCGTTGAAGCCTACCTAGGTGGAGCAACCTGATAAAGCATTCACACAGAACCCCTTCTTGAGGTCGGCATGATGAGCTTTGCTCTTGAGGTACTTAGTCGGACTGCAGAACCCCTTGATGGTCGCATCCCTAATAAGGTAGATGTCCTCAGGGTACTTGTTCCCCCTCTCCTCGAGCGGATGAATTTGCTCTTATGCCCCGATAATCAAGATTGCGAGGTCCTGCGTAAGGCTGCAAACACTTGAACTCTTCCGACCTAAGGAGCAAATTGGATTGACGCCAACGACTACAAGCTCATCAAACAGTCATTTCGGGACAAATGAACAATCTACTCCCTTCGCCGAGCTGCCCTCAACTCGGCAGTGGGGGGCAATTGATGAGGGTGAATTTGGCCCTCTAATAACCTCATGACACATGGCACCTCGAAACAGCTGGACAACGCCCAGATGCCACCTAAGCGATGATTTGGAGTCCCAAATCGTAGTTCGTCTTCGCCCCGGCCTGGCGACCTGCCTTTATCGCTGACCTTGCGACCTCGACCACAACTTAGGTCGGCTTGCAGCACCTTGTCCAGGGATGACCTGTAGCACCTCATCACCGGCCGAAGTGACCTCGATGTGAGGCGCGACCTCTCTCGAGGGCTTGCTAACCTAACTGAGGACCAAGTGGTGACCTGTGAGATGTGCTCGCCGAAAAATTCGGCATGCATACCCCGACACTCCCAGGTTTCTCTGAAGTTGGCCCGCATACTAAATGTTCCGAAGGATGGTCAACGTGCATAGCGGTTACCTCCGAGGATTTTGGATCGGTAAGGCACGACCTCTCGGAATTTTCGGATGCGATGCGTGAAGCCTATGCCAAAAAATGCCTATATAAAGGCACCAACCCTAATGACACAGGGTACGCGCGATTATTTGCTCACTAGCTTACTAGCATACAAACTTTTAGCTCGCACAACATAGTACTGACTTAAGCATTAGAGTGACCTTGCCGGGTTAGCCTCCCTGGGTTCTCTAATCCTTTGTCTTGCAGCTTGGTCCATCTCGCTACACGACTAAGGTCCAGGTCATATTCCAACTAGGAGCTTCCAGTAAGACAAAAGAAACACAACCTCGCCCCAGAACGTTGGAGGGTAGTCGATGAGGAGGTAGGGAAGTTCCTCGCGGCAGACTTCATCAGGGAAGTCGATTACCCAAGCTGGGTGGCCAACCCAATTCTGGTGAAGGCCAATGGCAAGTGGCACATGTGCGTCGACTACACCGACGTGAACAGAGCCTGCCCGAAAGACTGCTTCCCGCTGCCCAAGATCGACTGCCTAGTGGACGCAACCTCAGGGCATGAGTTGCTGAGTTTTCTGGACGCCTATTCCGGTTACAACCAAATTAGGATGGACCCCACTAACGAAGACAAGATCGCTTTCATAACTGAGCTCGAGCTATATTGTTACAAGGTCATGCCCTTTGGATTGAAAAATGCTAGGGCAACATTCCAGCGCCTTGTAAACAAAGTTTTTGAGCCATTGATTGGCAATAAAGTAGAATGTTATGTTAAAAAGATATAACATGAAATTAAATCCGAATAAATGCGCCTTTGAAGTCACTTCGGGTAAATTCCTAGGCTATATAGTCAACCGAAGTGGCATCGAGGCCAACCCAAAAAAAATAAAGACAATCCTAGATATGAGACCACCCCAAAAAATAAAAGAAGTCCAGAGGCTGACTGGCCGGATAGCTGCCCTGAGCCGCTTCATGTCTAAATCGGTAACCGATGCCTACCCTTTCTTAAAGCTATAAAAAAGAGCAAAAACTTCGAATGGACCGAAGAATGTCAACTCACTTTTGACGAGCTGAAAAGGTACTTAAGTACCGCTCCGATTTTAACTCGGCCTGAAGAAGGGGACATGTTAAAACTCTACCTCTCCGCAAGTGACGAAGTAGTTAGTTCGGTACTGATCAAAGAAGTAGATCGGGTCCAACGACCCATCTACTATGTTAGCAAAGTTTTGCAGGATGCAGAGACTAGGTATCCGGAGATCAAAAAATTAGCGTACGTGCTGGTCATAGCAGCCCGGAAACCTCACCCATACTTCCAGGCCCACACTATCGTTGTTCTCACCAACAAACCCCTGAAGCAGATTCTGCTTAAGCCCGAGGTATGAGCCACGACCAGCAGTCAAAGCCCAGGTCTTGGCGGACTTCGTAGCAGAGTGCACGTTCGATGCAGCGACCCCCGAATGGACCGAGCTCGTTCACACGATGGGAGAGTCAACAAGCGGTGCACCAAGCCCAGTCAGAGCAATAGCGACCTGGGACGAGGAGCCCTGGATCCTCCACGTTGACGGCTCATCCAACTAGCGGGGAAGTGGTGCATGATTGATACTGTATAGACCAAGCGAGGTGAAGCTGAAGTATACTCTTTGGTTCAGATTTGAGGCATCGAACAACGAGGCAGAGTATGAAGCGCTGATCGTTGGGCTGACCTTAGCAAGGGAAATGAAAGCAAGGCAACTCATCGTATGTAGCGATTCACAACTAGTTGTCGACTAAGTCACTGGCGAGTACGGAGCCCGCGACCTAACTATGGCAGCTTACCTGGCCAAAGTCAGAGAGATCCTGCATAGCTTAATCTCTTGCTTTATCAAGCAAATTTTGAGGTCCGAGAACGCTGAGGCCGATGCCTTGTCACGTCTAGCAAGCACGAGCAACAAGTACGTCCTCATAGACGGACAGCTATATAGAAGATCCTTCATGCTCCCTTACCTGCGTTGCTTGCGACCCTCAAAAGCTGAGCACGTACTTCGTGACACCCATGAAGGATTGTGCGGTAGATACTTGGAGGGCAGAGCCCTTGCACAGAAAATGTTAAGGCTATTATTGGCCCACAACGAAGGCAGATGCACTTGAGCTCGTCAAAACGTGTGACAAATGTCAAAGGCATGCCAATATCCACCACCAACCTGCTATTGATTTGAAATACCTCACCAACCCGTGGCCCTTCGCGTAGTGGGGAATCAACATCCTTGGTCCTTTCCCGCCAGCAACAGGGTAGAGGAGGTTCTTGGTTGTAGCAGTAGATAATTTTATGAAGTGGGTAGAAGCCGAACCCCTAGTAACAATCACAACCCGTAACATACAAAATTTCTTCTAGAAAAGCATAGTATGCCGCTTCGAACTACCCTGGGTGCTGATATCCGACAATGGGAAGCAGTTCGAAGATGTTAAATTTCAAAACTGGTGTGACAAGATGGGGATTCAGCAAAACTTCACCTCGGTGGCACACCCCCAAGCGAACGGACAAGCAGAAGTAACTAACAGGGCGATACTTCTTGGACTGAAAGCTAGCTTAGCTCAAGCAAAGGGATTGTGGGTGGACGAAATGCCCAGTGTCCTTTGGGCCTACTGAACTACTATCAAGACCGCGACGGGTGAGACCCCATTTAACCTCACGTATGGCACAGAGGCGGTGATCCCGGTAAAGATCGAGGTACCCACATTGTGATTTGAGGCTTATGATGAGGAAACAAACGATGACGAGCTCCAATACCAACTTGGACTTGGTAGAGGAGGTGAAAGACCTGGCTTACATTCGGACCATAGCCTACTAGCAGAGAGTAGCTCGGTACTATAACGCTCGGGTTAGGAAACGACAATTCCGTGTCGGCGACCTAGTTCTCCGGAAAGTTATGGTACCTGAGCCCGGCGTAGGTAAGCTCGGACCGAACTGGGAAGGTCCGTACCATGTAAGGTGGGTGTTCGGGAAAGGCACATATGAGCTCGAGACTTTGGAAGGGAAGCAGGTACCTCGAGCATGGAACATCGATAACCTAAGAAGGTACTACTTATGAGCCCATGACTCCATGATAGAATTCCTCTAAGTCTATGGAACCACCGAACTAGTCAAAAAAGACGACGGACTGGAGAGAGGACTCTGAGTCACTCCCAAAAGCCTAAGGGCTACGGTGTCGAGCTAACAAAAGACCTCGGCACTACAATAAGTCTTAGCCGCCTCCTCGGCATAGGCAGACAAGTCCTAGTCGCCTCTTCGGCATGGGCAGATAAGTCCTAGTCGTCTCCTCGGCATAGGTGTAACGATTCCCAATCGCCTCTTCGGCTTGGGCAAGTAAGTAGCCCGTGCATAGACAGGTCGAGTGTATACCCTACAGTGTCTATCCACCTCAGCATACAACAACACAAGGTTATTCCTACCTGGAGTCCAGCTCGCTAGCTTGGCACTTTGGGATAACCGACACTTGGAAAAATTTTTTACTTAGAAAGATTTTTGCACAAGATTTTTTGCACACATTAGACTTTCATCATTATGCTTCATTAACAAAAAGTTCTGAGTACATGGCAACTATTACTATAACCGAGCTCGGAGGCCCGGGACATACACTACATATGGGGGAGGGGGGGGTCCAAGAAAAGAGACATGTTCAAACATCAGATTTTCCAAAACCTCCTCCAGTAGGTAGGTTGGTCTCCATGTGGTCCTCCATGTCGTCTCGACTTGCCTCCTTTGACGGTCTCGATTCGAGAAGTTCGTCATCACTTTCTCCCTCGGAGGAGTCAGGTTCCTCGTCAACCTCCTTTGCCATCCTCGGGTCTTCTGATCTATTATTTCACAGCTTGGTCCAGCTCGCCACACAACTGGTGTTCGGATCATCTTCCAACTAAGAGTATCTAGATCGCGCTCCATCACACTGTACAATCAGGGATTGGGGGTGTTTTCAGGGATGAGAACGGGGTCATTTCTGCCATGTTCTTAGGTCCAATTGGAGTGGGGGATTCTCTTAGAGCTGAGATCTTGGCAGTTATGAAAGGAATTCAGAAAGCTAAGGAGATGGATGTCAGAAAACTCATAATTGAAGGGGACTCGGAGGTGGTGATAGGGTGGCTGAGGAAAGACAAGTGTGGATTATGGAAATAAAGCAATGAGAGGAGAAAATTCAAGAGGCTGGTGCGGGAAATGGAAATCAGGATGAGTTGGGTTAAAAGAACAGCTAACTCTATAGCTGATGGACTAGCCAAACGGGGGATAGAAAGGGATGTAATGTTTTGGGAAAGTTGTAACTAAATTTCTTCTTCTTTTCCTTTTCTTTCTTTGAGGACTTAGTTGTTTTTGGAAGACAAGAGTGTTTGTCTTCCTTGCTGTAACTATTCTTGTGATATTTTAATAAAATTGCTGAAATTGCTATTGATCAAAAAAAAAATGTCACCATGAACACCATCTTTGGCTGATGAACAAAATAGATGGCCCAACTGGTTTCCAGATGTAATTACTCCATGTCATTATATTACTTTTTCTCCTGACTAACAAAATAGATAATTTCAAGAACATAAAATATAGTACTACTGAAAATTTTGAGTAATGTTCTGCCGCTCTGCAACCTGAGAAAAAAAAATCATACTAGTGACTCAAGCTTCCAAATCTTCTAGAGTAATCATAATGGCCCAACCACACCGCCTGTGGGCATTTTATACATTTAAGTCATCTTCTACTTTCAGTGGCCCAAGCCCCTTTTCTTAGAATGTTCATAGGCCTAAAGCAAGATCACAATTTCAACTCCACTAGATTCTGTGGTTCCAACTGCTCCTAGTGCCATTGCTCCCTTAATATCATGAGACACTAATGCCTTCCCATTTTTGTCAACCTTTGAAAGATCTCCTCCCATTTCTTCCATCAAACATTTAAAAACAGAGCCCTTATTACTAATCAAAATACGTCCATAAATAAAGAAGCAACAGTGAAAAAATAGATCTAGAAGTAGGAATAGCTAATCAAGATACTTGAAAATGTAGATGGGAACAATAATACCTCTAACAAAGTGAACAAAGAACCAGAAATGCAAACCAATAGACTAGCATTTGAATGAAGACTACCTACTGCACCAGTAAGAAAATTGACAGTTGATTCCTATAGAGATGCTAAGGGAAAGTCAAAAAGGAAAGGGATTGAGGTAGTTGATAGAGGAATAATAAAGAAGTGTTCTAATAGCTGACCCCATATGGCTGGTATAAGGCTTCGTTGAGTTGATTTGAGAATACAATAATGGACAACAAAGTATTTACTGATGCTACATTTAAAGCATATTGTAGTTGAATAAATAACATGAGAAGCAGATGATAGGAACACAGTGGAACAGGTAAAGCGAGTCACTTACTGTTTTTGAAAGTTCACTCCCCATCTCCATGGTGCGCAGACATAAAGGAATTATCTCAGTTGATAGAAGGAAACTAATAACTTCCGTATCGTCAACCTAAGTATATTTCAAATTTAGATTCATTAATAACTGAATATCTTGTGGGAAGAATTACTGCAAACAGACAGATAAAATTTTAGTTACTAGACATGAAAATTATATCTGTTGGGGTATGGGAAAACTAAGTATATGTCACTGCTTGACTGCTTGTGCTTGTCTAGGAATATGCATACATGAATTACACAAGTGAAATAGATAAATGTTCGTTATTAAGGACTAGGGCAGCATATTAAGGAATGTAAGGTAATATGTTACATGCATGTTAAATACATGTTAATGGCTTGACCTGAAGCACTAGAATAGCAATCCTGCGGTGAACTTGGGAGGAGAGAAATGCAAGACTATTTAAAGACAAGAATTGTAGTAAAGAAGCAACCATTGAGAATGTGATGATCAAAGTAGACAAGAATCAAAGCAAGACTATGTAAAACAAATCCGAAATACAAAATACCTTCACAAGTGCTCCAATAACACCCAAGCTTGTAAGCCTCAAGTATTCAAATGGTCTTGTCTTGCTTGTAGTGTTGAGGAAAGGGTAAAGATACAAAGGAATATGTGCTGCAAAAGAATTAAACTTTCTTTATATTTATAATAACTTTTAAACCAAATTAACTACATTATTCATGCATATTTGTGAATGAAAGCACAGAGCAATCTATAACAATATTTTTTTATAGGTAACATAAATTGCTAAACACAGTAACCCAACCAAAGTCATTTAATTTAAAAGCAGATTGATACTATGAATTGATCACCTCCACCTACTGCACATATCATGAAAAGTTTTTAAAACATCATTGACAAGGAGAAAATGCAATTCCTGTTATGCATTAGAATGCTAATAGGAAAGCATTTCAATAACCATTCAAGCCTCGGGTTAAAAAAACCAAAAAAAAGGAAAAAAATCCACGTTGCTAATTCAAGAAACAAAATATTTCTTAAAGAAATTGAAAAGCCACAGCTAATTTAAAAGTTACAATTGTGCATTAAGCCATAGTTTGAAAGTTATATTGATTTATTTCCCTAATAAAAAGACCCAAAACATTTTTTTTTTGTTTTTTTTTAAAGACCCAAAATATTGATGTCATATATGGAATATGATATGGCACTGAAAGATGAAATTGGAAATTTCAACCAAAACTAGGCTGGACTATTGGACATGAGATTTAAGGCTAACTAGAATATAGAGTCTGAGATTTAATTGAATTAGGATTAAATCCAATGAGTTACAATTCAAGAAGGCAAGGAAAGAACTGAAATTTTAATATTGGGGGAATTTGAGGAAATTAATAGTGGGATTTAATGAATTCAAAAGTATAAAAAAAGGTTGGCTACATGGATATTTGCTTTCTAACATTTTGAAATAAGGAGCTTAGTTACATAGTTTATAAATTGGGAGAGAAACCATAAGGGGTAACTGAAGTTATTAAACCATAACGTGGATGTATCATTCTAAAAAGCATAACCATCTCCAACTAACGAGTCTATAATAAAAATAAAAATAAACAACCTGGTGACATAAAGAGTGCAAGAAGACAAGCCTACAACCACACTAGGATTCATTAGGTCCACCAAAATAGGAACTTCAACAATTACTGAGTTACCCAGGTACCCAACATACCTGAATTTAGTATACAGTCTGGGTTCACAAACATTGAGCCCAAAATTATCAGGTTTATTGGTTGGCTTGAACTCCAGTATATGAACATGCAAGTCTTAAATTTATAGAAGTATATCCACTTTTTTCCTTTTTGTGCTACATGTTTGCAATGTTCATACACTTGATTGTACTAGTTGTTATGGTTCAGCTTGAATACCCATCAATTAAATCAACTATATAACTCCTGCTCAGCAAGTAAAATAAACTATCATGACAATTAAATATATGATTGTAATATTGAAAACTTATAAAATTCGAAAAAGATACCTAGAATACAAAAAAAAAATATGATGGGATGAGCCGATAGGCCAATTTTTTCCAAGGTTTGACAGAGTCAACTCAGGAACCTTGATGATTTGCAACAACTATTTATTAACCAAGGGTCAAAATTCTGCTACAATATGCCCTGTATTGGGAGTAGCATATCGTATCAGGGGCTGTCTGAAACCTCAAATAAGGGGTGTTTCGGACTTTGACCACTTTCAGGGGGTAGGCATGCTTAAAACCGACCCCCTGATGCAATTTTGAAAAAAAAAAGTAAAAAAAAAAATGTTATTAAGTAGTGAAACACCTGATACTTTAAACCTTGTTATTAACTTGACACTGAATTCCACCTGGTCAATACAGCTATATGTTGATTCATGGATTTCTACAACAATGTCATAGAGTCATGTTTGGCCTCCAAATAAAGAGAAGATGAAGGAACATGAATCCACCTTCCTGCCCTCTTTTCTTCTTTTTTTCTTATATGGCCAACAAAGGGAGGCACATGTTTCACCATCCTTCCACCTCAAGAGGGATACGCATCACAAGGAAGAAGCATTAGCATTTGTTTGCATGATTGAAGCCTAGGCTCCAAGGTAGTTTGGTTGTTATGCCTTGAGATAAATACCTTCAAAAATCATTTTTTTTTTCTTATTGAGTTCTTTGTTCTTTTCCTTTTACTTTTGATCTTCCAAAATATGGGTCTGATGATTTATCTAACCAACCTACCTTTCTTCAGATGAACTCACCCTTGAGTTTGTATCAAGGATGAAGTTGAAATTTAAAATATTTTTTTTTTGCGAAAATTTACCCAAGAGAAATTTAAAATATCTTGGACCTCTTGCAGACTCTATAACTATTGTACCTTAATTAGGGGTTTGATTACTTTATATTTCTCACAGTTCATTTAGATAATCCAATCTGAAAGTCCTCGGAATTTATTGGCTTTCAATACCATTTGATGGGTCTACATTGCTTTTATTGCACATTCACCAACTTTATTTTTCCTAGAATTCTTTGATATCAAAAAGGGATTTCACAAGATCAACAAGATTGATCAGCCACTATGTTTCCAATTCGAAGCCATGTTAATTACCTTTTAATACATCTTTACTTAATCATCAAAAATAGAACCAGATTTAGTTGAAATTCTCTTCTTATTATCTCATGAGAATTCCTCACCATCTCAAATGATTGAACAACCTATGAAAAAGGGTGAAAGGTCTTCTAGTTGAATGCAACATCTTGACCAAAAAACAAAAAATGAAAGAAAAAATTATTCAAGTATCCTTCAGCCAATTAAGAAAGATTTAAACACCCTCAATTAGTGGTGATTATCGTAATTTTTTTTTTATGAGTAAAGAGTCATATTCCATTAATTCAAAGATCGATTACATGAAAATCTCCTTAGAGAGGCGTGAGATGCTGCCTCTCCATACAGAAAACACAAAAACTACATCAAAAAGTGCATGACTGTTACAAAAGACACAAATTATAGTTGCGCCCAGAACAATGTTTCCCTGTTTCTCCCTTGTTTTGCCAAGACATCAGCAAATGCATTAGCTGATCTCCCAACCCACTGTACTGTTAGAGACATATTCCTTGTCAGCCATTTGAATTTCTTCATCTCATTCTTGTAGTACCACGTGACATTCTCCGGATTATTTAACCAGTTCACCACAGTCTTTGAGTCCCCTTCAACCAGAAGCTGCTCCACACCCATTTCTTTTGCAAGAATTATTCCTTGTATTGCAGCTAACAGCTCTGCCCGAATAGAGTTACCAACACCTAATGGGCCAGAGTATAGTAAGACAGCTTCTCCAGCCTCATTACTCAGTACACCTCCCAAACCAGAGGGACCTGGGTTGCCCTGGCTACTTCCATTAAAATTCAGCTTCAAAGAACCGTGAGGAGGGGGGGACCCAGCTTGTCATTACCTTTATCTTTGAGGAGGAACAACTTGCTACTGATAACCAATCCCTCCAACAATCAGTAATGGAGAAATGATCAAACAAATCCAAAGTCTTTAACCAATGTATTGCCCTATACAAAATGCAATCCTTCAAGGCTTGGCTGCTTCTCCCCTTTTCCTGGAAGATCCTGGCATTCCTTTCTTCCCAAACTGTCCATAACAAGGCTGCTTGTGCACACCTCCACATTTTCCTTCCTCTTTTATGGGGCCAATAGAACGTAGAAGGGTTAAAGATTATACTTCTGTTGGCATATCCCATCTACACCCAAACAATGATAGAAGCCAAACCCAGAGCTCTACATTTACACTACAAGATAAAAATAAATGATAACAGTCCTCACCACGAGATCTGCAAAGAGTACACCAGTTTGGAAATATACATAAGAAGGGTCTTCTCATTTTTAGGTTATCCATCATGCTTACTTTACAATGCCACATTTCCCAACACAGAGCCATAACCTTGGGGGGAACCAGTCTACACTAGACTTCTTTGGAAGGGAAACATTGTTGAGAGGAGGTTTGGCACAGGAAATTAAAAAAGGAACCACAAGAAAAAGACCCATTAGGGTGAATGGCCCAAATCCTCTTATCAAGCTTCAAAGGATCCAACCAAACCTTATCGAGACCAAGAAGAGCAGACAAACAATCAACTTCATCCTCCCTTAACCCTCTACGGAAAGCAAAGTCCCATGACAAAGACGACAATTTTAAAATTGAAGGAAGGAATTTTGAAATCACCTCTTTTTTATACAAAGGAATAGAATACAAGGACGGAAAAAGGTCTTTTAGGGGAAGATCTCTAGCCCAAATGTCCTCCTAAAACCGAATAGAGTTACTAGATCAAGCATCATACCTTATACAATTGAGGAACTGCGGAAGAATTTTGTGAATTGCTTTCCAAGGTGTTGCTAGGTTAGCCCTCCTTGAAGCACTAGCTTCCAATCCACTCTCTGAGCATCCATGAATACTCTTCACCACTTCATGCCACAACCTATCTCGCTTCATAGGCCACCTCCACAACCACTTCCCTAACAAAGCTGAATTCTTCTTAAGCACATTCCCAAGCCCTAATCCTCCTTCCTCTTTGCTTCTACCCACAACCTCCCAATTGATTAAGTGGTCTTTTTTGCCTTCTCCCGGTTCCCAAAGAAAATCTCTCATTAATTTTTCCAGTTTCTTCACTTCCCTAGATGGTATCCTAAAGACACAGAGAGGTAGTAAGTAGGTAGGTTCGCAAGGGTAGCTCTTATCAAGTTGATCCTCCTGTTTGTTGGATTACAGCAGTCGAAGAAGAGGGAGAAGAAGAAGAAGAGAAGAGGATCTGAGAGAGGCGGCGTAAAACCTTCAGCCAGCCCAACAAGTTTATATAAATGATTATAAAATAATTACATGAACAGACTAGAATGCCCCTGATTAGTGATGGGACACCTAGACAAATAAAACAATTAAAACATTAAACATGTTTGGGCCCAATAACTAAGAACATAAGACACAAATAAGACTAACTTGAGCACTAATAACAGCCGAACCAACACTCCCCCTCAAGCTAAGCATGGATGTCAATCATGTTTAGTTTGCCAAGTAAGTTTGAGAACTTCGTTGAAGCTAGTCCTTTAGTTAACATGTCTGCAATCTGCATCTCGGAAGGAGTATAAGGAATGC